TACAATTCTTCGGCCTTGTCGAATTGACCTATTTTTAGCAGCAATTGACCCAATCGATACCATCCAGTGCTACTCGATGTTTCTTCTGCTATACTTTTGGTTAATCGACGGAGTTGTTGATCGTCATCTGCCGTAAGTTTAAGGTCTACTTCATAAAGTGGACTTTTCTTGTCAATTTTTCGAACTTCACCAATTCGAAAAACTGTATGCATCGAGAAGAGAATTTCCTCTTCTATCTGGTAATAGCTCACTTCCCGAATGGAAGCAAATGGAGTCGACGATTCTGTGGAATCGATGGTCATTTGGAAAAGAACACGAACCATATCTGTTGTTCCTAGGGCACCCTTGGCGAATTCGAGAGAGGTATTTCGATTTTGACTGGTAGATAAAAAGTTATTAAACGAGATAAGTCCACCTTTGGTTTTAGCGATTTTTTCGAAATCTGCCGTCAATAACCCCTGCCCCCGATAAACTAGAAAGGCCTTACCATTATATTGATGAATCTGTGTCTTGTGTAAATCTTCAATTTGTCGATGGACATCACAAAGATAAAAACCCATTCTAATGATAATATCACCATCCAGCGTTCGTAATGCTCGATTAAGCATTTTATATGTGAAACATTCGCGGGTATACCACCATATCGCGAATGTTGCATCATAAGTACGCTGGAATTCATCAATAATTTTGAGTTCTTTTTTATTACCTTTATATTTTTCTTGGCAGAAGGTGACCAAATCTTTAATGGCTTGTTGACCATGCTTCATATCAAGGAGAATTTCCTTGAATATTTGTGTATACATGAAGGATGGTTCTAGCTGATTGAGATCTTCGCTAGAACCTTCTTCATTGACGCCAATAATACTAACAGTTATTTGATCTTGATTACATTGTTTGACGGCTACTGCCAGTTTTTCACAGATACTTTTGATTGTGGTGTGAACGCCTTTAATTTTTGGCCAATGTTTGGCCCATTCTTGATGGTGTTGTTTGTTACCACAGAAGATATAAATGGCATCTAATTTTGGCATGCCATGAATTTCTGGTACAAGATGTTGGCCAAGTGCACCAGAGGAGATAACAAATGATGTCTCCTCACTGTTTTTCTGGAGCTTCTCGATACATTGTTCGACCGTTGTGCATGGGTTCACTTCATTAACAACACCGCGCAATTGCGCGAGTGTGTTTTGGCAATCCTTGTTTTCCATGTTGATATTGCCGTCAACCCAGATCACCAGATAATTTTCAGCCATTTGCCGCCGTCGTTGTCGATTCATTTTGAAGCAAAACTTTGCTGTTGAATCAGTAACTGAGCATAAAGAATAGTGGATTGATAGTTGGACAGAGATCACCTTTTCTATTTATATGTTCGATATCGATTGTTTTTTTTAATGCTTTTCGTTGACACTCAAAGATAAACTCTCATTAATTTCAATAAATGCAAGCAAAATATGTAACAACATCATTCATTTTATGGCTTTTTTTTCTTTCCAACTTAAGTTTGCTCTGTTTTACATGAATGCTTGTTGTCTTTATAAAACGAGGTTGACAATGCAAGCAAGATAAGAAGAAATTAAGAACTAGTAAATAAAATGACAAGTAACGCGACGCAAACATCGCTAACCCTCTACTGAAAGGATATAATCTCGTTAAACATATGGTATTCAAGCAGGAAAATATTAGAGCTAATGTGATAGTATGCATCTATGAAAAAGTAAATTGCGCTCGTCACCAAGACTCTCTTGATAATCGTCTGAATTTAATTTAACCATCGTATATCATCGTTTACTGAATTCTGTTTTGAGAACTATCTCTGGGGTGTGGGGTGTGGGTGTGGGTGTGGGTGTGGGTGGGTGTGGGTGGGTGTGGATATGGGTGTGGGGTGTGGGGTGTGGGTGTGGGTGTGGGTGTGGGTGTGGGTGTGGGTGCGGGTATATGGGTGTGGGTGTGGGTGTGAGATGACACTGAAGTGACCCACATCCACACCTACACCCACACCCACACTCACACACACACTCACACTCACACTCACACTCACACCCACACCCACACACCCACATCCACACACCCACATCCACACACCCACACCCACACCCACCCACACACCCACACCCACATCTATCTACAAGAAAAGTTTCGCAAGGTGTAATAGAAGGCCATGGGTTTTCAGAAAGGTTCTTTTCAGAAATCCAGGGAATTTTTGAGATTGTAGCACTGAAAAGCCTGGTTTTTAATTAAAAAAACTAAGGTTTCATTGTTAAAATTCCTTTTTTCTAGTAAAAAAGCTACTTTTGTGGTACTTGGCTGCGAAAAATACCCGTTTGAATGCCAAAAAACTTTTTCAAAAACCCATGGTTTTCTAGGACAATGCTAGCAAAAAACCAGTCCACATTAGAAGGCCATCTTGAAGGAGCGATGTAAATTTTCATAATAGAAGGCCATCCCTTTTTTGTTCTGCGAGAGGTTGTGTTGCACTAAAAACATCTATATTTGACGATTCTCGTCACAACTGGCACAGGTAGAAGATCTTTTGATGTTAAGAACCTAATGAATGCATCTAAGAGCAAGCATGGCGCGATGACGTTTAAATCATATCATTATTCCTCATATTCATAAGAAAAAGTACGATAAACTGGACTTGAACAGTATCTTTTTCGACTTTATTTCAAAAAAGCAACAGAAAAGATTTTTTTGGGATCGTGAATACTATTTTCTGGTTCGACTTTATATATTTATTTTAGATTAGATTTGAACTTTTTATGTATGTGCTGGCCATTAATT